CCCATTCGCTGGAGCAGCCCGAGGCCCAGGTTTTTTTTTCCCATTATTTAAATCCCCCCCCCCCCCGCCTGCCCTGGCAGAGCTGCAAATGAATGTGCTCCCGAGAAAACACCAAACTTCACTTATTTATTTTTAATCCTCTTGAAGGACACTCAATGTTTTGCTGCACTGGCTTTCTGTCCACCAACCCTTGCACATTGGAGAAGTTATTTATTTTCGTAGCCTAGAGGAGACAGTCTTTGCCATGCCTTCAGCTAGCACTTCTGGGACAGGTTTTAAGCCTTCGCTGCCAGCCCTGGGAGCCATGAAGCGTGGGACGGGCTGGGGACAGACGGTGGGATGGACAGGAGGAGACCATGTTTTGACGTGGAAACGGGAAAAAAGGGATTTTAGGAGGAGCTGCTGACCCTGGGAAACCCCCACGCCCTGGCTCTGGACTTCATGTTCATATTTATGTATTTATTTAGCAAACTTTGGGGGGGCTTTGGGGGTCACCTTCTTTTTATGAGCCTTGGTTGGACACGAACACCACCTCCCTTCTCTGCTGGCTGTCCCCCCCGGCTGCACCCACAGCACCTCCTTCCACGTGGACTTTCCTCTCTCCTAAAGCCTGCCAGCCTCTACCAGGGGCTGGGGACCCTGGCGACAGACATCCAGAAGCTCTTCTCGCTTGGAAGTGTCCCCCCCCAGCCTTTTTACATGTCTCCCTATGTGCTTCACCAAGCCCATGCTCTCCTGGCGGCATCCGGTGTTGCCTCCAGTGCTCCTGGATGGCTGCAGGGAGCAGAGGAGCTGCTGCACCTCCGTTTCCGCAAGGCCAGGTCTCCCCCCAACGCACACTGAAGCCGAGGAGCTTCACAGATGCTGCTGCCAGCCCCCTGCCTGCACGGGTGCCTGCTGCTCACCACCCAGCTGCTCCTTTTCTCTTCACCCGGCTGGGATGCACAGGCAGGTTTCAGTGGTATCACCCATGTGTCCCCCACCAGGCGTGTGGAGAGAGACCATAGGACGTAGCTTCTCTCCAGGATGCAACTGGGACGAGAAAATGTACAAATGCACGGAGGAGGTGGGGGTCTGGATGCGTGCCCCGCTTCACAGCGCTCCCAGGAGCTGGGAGTTGGGAGGGCTGGCCCATGGAAAGGGCTGCTGGTTGCTTCTGCAGGCACCTGCTGCCTCCTGCGGTGGCCCTGCATGGGGGGATGCCCAGCTGCCGAATCAGTCACCGCTACCAGGCAGCTCCATTGGGTCTGGCAGAGGCCCCTGTGCCACTGTGAGCAAGCTGGGAGCGGTGTGTGCCCCGTGGATGTTGCTGCTGGTGGGAAAACCGCTGCTTGTCCCCACTATGCCCATACCACAGGGCAGGGAGCCTGGGCTGGAACAAGCTACCCTGTGCTCCCCAAAGACCCAGTGCCTGGTCCCACCTCATGCTGCAGGACCCCATTCAATAGCATCACCCTGGCAGTGCAGAGGGTGCTGCCATCATTATGTTTCAGAATGAACAGTGAGCTGAAAGGGAGCTGTTCATCATCCTCCCCAGGCAGGGACGGTGCTGTTGTGCGCCCATGCACACTTTAGCTCAGGGCTGTTTCTGACAGTGGCCGTAGGGCCCCACTGACACAGGAGGAGGCAGTGATGCCCCAGGGGAGACCCAGCCAGCCTCCAGCCCATGAGTCCCCCTCAGGTGGGGTGCCGCGGCTCCCTTCTCTCCTGCCCTCCGCAGCAGCACTGGGCAGGGTGAGGGTGAGCCAGGGGGCAGCTGCTCACTGCAATGCAACATCCGGGGACGCGCTCGCAAGAGTGCCAGCAGCAGCAGAGAAGCCATGAGGAGGGGGCCTGGTGCCACGGCGTGAGCGGGAGTGAGCACAGGCCCAGCCAGCAGGCGCAGAGGTCACCGCAGCTCAGCAAAGCCGTGACCTGCGTACACAGGCATGCTCCACCTGCGGTGCATAAATCCACCCTCCTCCTCCTCATCACCTGGGGCGGCTGTTAATGAGTAGCCAGGTGAAAGCATATGGGAGCTAGGCCAAATAAACCCTGGGTCCCATGAACCAGCAGCCTCCATTTCCCTGGCCCCTCTCCGATGGCAACCATGCCTTGGAGCCCCCGTGCTCGGGGAGGGTGAAAGAAGAAAAACCTCAGCCATGTCCAGAGCTTTGCCAGCAGGCGGGGTGATGGGTTTGATCTGTGGGATGACAACACATGAGGTCAGCAGCGTTTATAGCAGCAGGTTTGGCTCCATTTCCCTGCCTGCTCAGCCTTGACCTGGGGTTTTATCCCAGGGCTCCGATTAGAAAGTGCCCGTATGGAATCAGCAACGGTTTTCACTGCAGACCTGCTCCTTGCACCTGGTCATGGTTTGCTGGGCTCCGGGCAAAGAGCAGCACTTGCGTCTCTCTGCTGTGATTTGCTGTCGGTGGTGGCAGAGCTGGGGGAAGCAAGCGGGCACTGTGCCCATGCCCGCACCCATGGGATGGGCAGTGCACCAGGGGCGAGGAGTGCTCGTTTGAGCTCAAAGCCAGGGGGTGGAGGGGGCACTCAGGCATGTGTCCTGCAGCGCACAGGGAGCCCAGGGCCACCACCCTGGGCCGGCAGGACGATGACACACCAGCACTGGTCTGCCAAGAGTGCTGGGCTCCGATAGAGACATCCCCTTCTGATGATCAGTGAGACGCCCTGCCACCTCCCCCAGGGGACGCAGCATTGATCCACTCCTGCCATGCCGAAGCCATGGTTCAACGGGCCTGGCAGCTAATGACCTCCTTAGTCCAATGGTGCAAAGGTCTCCAGCACAGGAGGGGACCCACAGGGGCTGGGACACCAGCCTGGCTGTCCCCGGCTCTGGGGAGGAATACGCCATGCTGCTAAGGGGCACTTGAGGCTCTGATACCCCCTGTCCCCCTCAGTGTCTCCTGGCTCAGCCCTGTTCATCCCCCAAAGGCTGCGGGATGGAGCGGAAGCCCCCAAACCACCACCCCCAGCCCCAGGCACTGGTGCCAGTGTGCGAGCACCCTGCTGAGCCAGCACCATGCTGGGGGACCCCCAAGAGCTGGGGAACCCCATTGCTGTGGGAGCCCCAGCCCAGCGCCAGCTCCATCCTCCCGCTGTGTGCATAGCTGTGGTTGCCTGCATGGAAATGGCGTCCGTAGTGTAGCGTGTGTTGCCCTGTACACCTGGACTGCTGTGGGCTTGCCTCAAATAAAGATGGTGATGAAATACTTGGCTGGTCCAGGGGTGCACAGGGGTTCCCCGATTCCTGGCTAGGCGTGGGGTCCCCACCTTCCACGACTCCAATGTGAGGTGCCTGATTCAGGGCACTGGGCCGAAGGGGCGTTGTCAGTAGCAGCACGATGGAGCAGCACTCGGCGGGAGCTGCAACGGGCTAAATTTGGAGCCTGCAATTTTTTTAATTTTTTTTCCCTGAGCAGGGTCTAAATTTAGCAGGTGCTGGTCACCACCCCCCCTCCCAGCCCTGGCTCTCCAGGCGCTTCAGCTCTTCCCAGGCCCACCCGCCTGCCCCACAGCTGCACTCAGCCCCCATCACCTCTCCCTGCACCAGGTGGCAGCAAGAGGCCCCAGGGGTGCTGAGCAGCTCCCAGCTGGTGTGGGGCCACATCTGTCTTGGGTCACAGGTTATGCCCAGCTCTGCGAAGATCCGACTTGTCCCCAGCAGCCTGCCTTGCTCCCTGGCCCAGGTTTTGCCACCTGCCTGCCCGTACATCATCTGCTAATTTTACCAGCGGTGATTTAATCCTGGTTGCCTTCGTGCAGAGGGGAAGTGAGAGCACCAGTGCCTGCAGAGCCCCCCGGGAGCGTTCCCCAGGTGGCAAGGACACCCCGTGCCCTCTGCGTACTCCCCTGTCCCAGCATGCAGGCACCCAGCAGGCAGCGTATTGTGGCAGGCCCCGCCATTTCACCCAGGACATGATGGGACACAAGCTACCTGCCTTTACCAGCCTCAACCCTGGGAGATGGTGGTGGCCCTGGAAGCTCATCAGTACCCCAACATCGACAGAGAAATTCCCACCAGTAGCCGAGAGACATGCTGGGCAGCTCTCTCCAGGACATGAGCAAGTCCATGCCCTGAAGCTGAGGATTTCAAAATGGTCAGGACAACCCCATACCAACAGGCTTCCTAAGATACCCCTAGGCATCTTCCCAGGACTGGAGCAGAAGGCTCCTCTCCTTCCCAAGTTGAGAAGAGCAATATTTAACTGAGCACTATCCCTTGTTTTTCCTTTCTCCAGCAATAATTTCCCAGTCTGACTCCACGACAATGTGATGCCTCCACACAGTTCATTTATCCAGTGCAATATCTGCTGCGTCCTCCACAAGCAGCAAGTCTCCATGGCAGGTCTCACCACTTTCAGTTACAGATGGGGAAATGGAGGCACTTGGCAGATTCTCATTTGCAGTCCTGCAAGGGCTTGCGTCCATGAACCCAGTCAGGGGGGATCCGTGGCCAGGGCAGCCCCGAAGTCCCCGCAAGTGGGAACTATTTTCCCTATGGCCACCGCCAAAGAGTCCTTCTCAAAGGCAAACCTGCCTCCAGGGTGCCTGCAGGGGAAAGGCTGCCGAAGCCACCACTCAGGCTTGGGTTAGCCCGGGGCTC